ACGACACACACACACACACACACACACACACACACACGACACACACACACACACGACGACACACTACACACACACGACGACGACGACTACACACACGTACGTACGTACGACGACGACGACGACGACGACGTACGTACGTACGACGACGTACGTACGNATGTCCCGCCCCTTAGCCTATCGCGTACAATGTGTTGGAGTGCTAGCTAAGGCTGCTCAATTAATCATATTTTAATCGCAATTACGATTTTGGCTTGCAACGATTATAAAAACAACATAATCGAAATAAAACGATTATTTATTTTATTTTTAAAATTATTTGTTTTATTTGTTTTTCAGTTGAATTATACTTAAAGTTCAGGGTAATCAACTGTTAAAAACATACTGTTCACATTTTTCTTTTCAATAAATCGATGTTTTCAAAGTAAATGGATAATCGTTTTTAATAATCGTGATATCAATTATTGACCCAAATAATCGAGATTATGATTTTTGCCATAATCAAGTAGCGCTAGCCAATAGAAGCGCAACGTTGCTCACTGTTAGGGATGTAAACAAAGGAGTCCAATGGAGGCGGGGGGGGGGGAACAAAAAAAAACACAATTAGGCCTCTTTTTAATTATGTAATGTCAACAGTCATGTTTCTTTGATAACTGAGGAGGGTTTTTACATTTGGTACTGAATTGCATAATTTCTTTGGCTTCCCAGTTTCCACACGGACAATGTTGAATCTACAGTTTTGGAACAAATGTGGTGTCACTTATAGATCAAAATACAATCATTTGGGGGAATGTTTGTTTGATCCAGGTGCAGCACCGTGTGTCAGGTCAGGTCATGGCTCTGAAGATGAACATCCTGGCCAGCAACAGAGCCAACATGCTCAGGGAGGTCCAGCTCATGAACAGACTGTCGCACCCCAACATACTCAGGTAACTCAAACATTGCTGTGTCTTTTTTATTTTCTACTTTCTGGTTTAGATTCTATTAATGCTGGTCATGAATTATATTTGTGTGTCTAGAAACAGTTTCTCTTCTCTTCCTTTAGGTTTATCGGAGTTTGTGTTCATGAGGGCCAGCTCCACGCCCTCACAGAGGTAAGACACTTAAGAACTGGAGACCAAGTTGGGGTGTTTTGATTGATTTTTCCATGTTTTTCATGATAATTCAAGATACTAGTTCAGTAAGCAGATCTGTCGGTCATCTCTCTCTCCTTGAACTCTGTCACAGTTTCAAGATTCAAGGCTTTTATTGTCATTCGTACATGGCTACAGTGTAGTTATGTCAATGAAAATCTTAGGTCAAAGGCTCTTCCAACAGTGCAACACAATAAAACAGATACAATTGTGCAAGTAATAAAATAATAAATAATATATATAATATAAAAAAAGAATATAAGTAGTGCCATAAGAGTTATATACAAGTGATACATCATTTGTGTTATGGATGTTCTAGTTCAGGTGTTTAACAGTCTTATGGCCTGTGGAATAAAACCAACACACACAAACTGAGGTTGGGCAGTTCATGACTTTTCCCCTGTTTCTTGCTTATGATGGGTTTACCTGGCGTTGTCGTGGTAATTGAGCTGCTCAATATTGAAAGGTGGATGAGGGGGGATTTGGTGTCTGCTGTCTGTAGAGGTGGTGTTTGTGTGACCCGTCATCGGAGCTCGATGCTGTAGGTCAGCAGGTTTCAGATATAATAGGGATTAAAGATATCTGCTGCCTGTTAAGAGGTTTAGCTGATGGACAGTGACATCTCCGTTATGGGGCTGGGATTGACTTGTGTCACATCTATGTGTCATGTTTTTAGATCACTATCCAGAAATTGCTCGTACAATTCTTAAAACGCTGAAAAAACTATGCTATGGTTGCACGATTTCCCACAACTCGATTGTTTTGTCTTACAGCACTCTTGGATATTACATTTACAGTGATTATAAACTAAGAAAAGCTGTCAATTGTCACATTTATAAGCTTTAAAAAACAAATATTTAGGCTTTTTTTGGACAAATAATTTACTTTTTTAATTGTAAGCTTCAAAAGGAGCAGTGAAATAAACTGGTCGATTAGACAGGACAATAGAAGATACAACAATATGACTTAATATGTATTAATTGAGATGTGTAAGCGGCTTTCATGTCAACATCCAAGCAGTTTCAAAGTGGAACGTGTTCCTGTGTCTGTGTTAATAATGACCTCTCTGTTTCTCCTGATGATCCAGTTCATTAATGGCGGTAACCTGGAGCAGCTGTTGGGCAGCGACGTGTACCTGTCGTGGAGCGTGAGGATGAGCCTGGCGCTGGACATCGCCCAGGGACTGCAGTACCTGCACAGCATGGGCATCTTCCACCGGGACCTCACCTCCAAGGTGACGACAAACACACATGCCTCAGTGCCCTCGAACAACAACACACACGCACACGCACGCACGCACACACACACACACATTCCCCTGTTTTGGAAACAGTAAAAAGCTCTAGTGCAGATTAAGAGGCTTTGTGGGTGCGTCACAAAAATGGCAACTACGTCAACGAAAAGGATCTGTGGGAAATGTTAAGTCAATTCAGTAAAATTATGAATGGAAAATAACATTGAGCTCCTGCCTCACATGTGTACTTTAAAGAAATGAGGGGATATCAAACATCAAATTCAGCACACAACCGAACATTTTTAATAACTAAATAAACTAGACTGATGATGAAGGATAACGTGTGCAAACCACAACATATAAAGCCATTAAACATTAACAAAGCAAGAGATAAATTGTTCTGATGCTATCTTTATCCTGTATTATATGGATCGAAGAGGATCGATAAGAGTCTCAACACATCTCAAGTTGAGTCTGCAAAAGAAATGACGACATGCTGGAAAATCACTTGGGAAATGGGACAGAAACCACTTCCACTTGAGTGAGATTTTTTTAAAGGGTGGAAACATCAGCCGTTCATTTTTAATGTGGTCCTACAAAGCCTTTACAGCACATGAAAAGCTCTGCATAATACATCTGTTGAAACACAAAGGGGCCACATGCAGCCATATTAGAAAGCAATGCTGCACACACACTTAACAGCAGTAATCCTGATGTGTGTGACCTCTGACCCCTCTGCAGAACTGCCTGGTGCGCTGGGAGGGCCGTGTGTGCTCCTCCGTGGTGGGAGACTTTGGCCTGGCGGAGAAAATCCCAGATTACAGGTCAGTCAATTCATCAAAACTCCTATCAGCGCGTGTTAGATAAGTCACGCTCAATAAATCCCATTCTTCCACTTCTCTCTTCGTCTCATTTTATCCCTCGTGCCATATATGTCTGAGCAAAGTGTGAACAACGTCTCCCACAGCTTCTCTTCTCTCTCAGTTGAGACACAGTCACACAGTAAAGGACGCATTACTCACAGGATTTTCCAATGTGTGCATTTCCTGTGTTCACAGACGTCCTCCCCCCATCACTCACTGTTTAGGGAACTCTTCATTAATATTATAAAACGTCATTTTAAAGGCGGCCATGACTCCACAGACTCCCCTCCTCTGTTTCCTTCGTCTCGTTGTGTTTCCTCCTCTGGGATTGCAGCTATCTTTTTAATATGCCGTGGCATTTTTTATTCGCCGCCATCAATTAACCGCTGGCTTGTTCTGACTGTAAATGACCAGCGACGTTACAGCTATCAAGTTTTATTTTCTCCAGCTGCTTTTCCAGTGACATCATATCTCCCGTAAAAATAGGAATACCAAAATAAGGAAGGTACTAAAAGGCGAAGAATGGAAAAATCCTGAATTAATTAGGTTTGACTCGAGACATGTCAAGGGAAAAACTCTTCAACTGTTTTAAATTCCTAAAATCTTGTTAGGATTAAAAACTCTATCAGGAAAAACTTTAATTGCCCTCAAATATTGGCTTTAAACACTTGAATGTACAGAAATGAGTCTAGTATCTCTCAAGTCTTCAATTCCTAGGCACAAAAGAAAATAAGTGTGTTTCACTAAATGTTAAACTTACTATTTCTAAGTGTGTAAATATATGAATATTCCATTTAAGTTCCACTATGTCTCTTAAGTTCAAGTACTTCCTCTTGTCCCCAGTTGATCTACAATGTGACGTCACTTCTCCTTAACGTCCGTTTAAGTCCACAACTCAAATTAGACAGTTAGCCGATAAACAGTTCAACAGTCAGGCAGGCAGTTAATTCATAACAATATAAAGCAGGGAAAAGTCACACACACACACACACACACACACACACACACACACACACACACACACACACACACACACACACACACACACACACACACACAGCTGGCAGATACTTCCTTTCTGTGCTATTTCCATCTGCTAATGTGGGCTATGATACTACAAAAAAAATGGCAGTGATGGCAGAGGGAGAGATGAGGAGCTCCCAATGTAAACACCATTTGGAGAAGTGGACCAACAGAAGCAAGAAACCAGAGAGGGAGATCAGAACCAAGTGAAAACAGAGACAGAAAAATCATCATAAAGAGAAATAGTTTAGAGGACACCAGAGGAATGATGGCATAACAGAGGACAGGAGTGGCTCGCTGTATGGCGGGGCAGAGATCCAGTAAGAGCGAAAGCAGGAGGACTGGAATACTTTGACCTTATTTGGAGTGCTTTCCTAAACCCCTGTCATCTCGTCTCCTTCCCTCCATGTATCGTCCCCTCCTCCCTACTTTCCATTATGCCAGTGGAGAACGCCAACGCAAACATACGGGAAGGGTTGTCAACATCGCCCATTCTCTGTTAGCACAGCGCTACAGGATGTAACGGTACTCGACTAAAATACAAAGCAAACATGTCAATGAAAATGACGGAAACACAAATCAGCAGCTGCTATTGAAACAGAGGCAGGAGCAAACAAAGGCTTCATGTTTTATAGCTGGGAAAAAACCCAATGACACATTTTGTAGAAGCCATGCATGTGTAAAAATCAAAATGTGTTACGTTGTTTTAAGATGGAAGGATATGCATTCTTCTTTAGTGAAAAACAAGCAAAGTTTCAAGCTTTTCTTAGCTGACAGTGACACACACTTATGTAAACACAAAAGGTGAGCGGGCACAAACAGAACCAGCAGACACACGCACGCACGCACACACGCACACGCACACACACGCACACACGCACACACACACAAAGGGCAGGCCGGGTTACAGTGGCAGCTGTCTGGCCTCAGCGAGAGTTGTGTGTTTACTGACTGAAGAGGTGTGTGTGTGTGTGTGTGTGTGTGTGTGTGTGTGTGTGTGTGTGTGTGTGTGTGTGTGTGTGGCATGTTGTCTCATGCACATTTTGGTTTTCCTTCCTTTTTATTCAGCTAAAATTGCACAACGATATCTGCACATAACTGAAAAACATTGCGGTTTCTTAGATACAGAGGACACACACACACACAATCAGATTAACCCCATAAGACACTTCTCTCCCTCTAACTTGTTTTGGTTCTGCGTTTATAAAAAAAGAATGTGATGCCTGTTTTGCTGGACTGTTTTTGTCACAATTTTTGCTTATTGTCTGCTACATATTGCAGATCTCCTGAACTGAAAATATACTTTTTAATAAGTGTGTATTCTTAACTGTTGGGATGCAAATCTGCCTTTTCAGATGTTGTTGACCCAAGGCCTTTTTAATTGTTTTTTTAGGCAGTTTTAAACCAAACCCTTTAGAATTTAAACACCTAATTCTTATGACTAAAAGAGCGCTTAAAACAAACTGTATTCTTGCGCTTATCTGTGACTATTTAAAAAAAGAACATCTCCATAATGAACCATAAGATGATTTTAAACTCTGGTGTAGTGAAAAGGATTTGAGAGGTTTCGCTTGAGCCTCACGTACTGTCCTGCTGTTTTAACATGAAGCCTCCCTCCTCTTCCTCTCTGCAGCGATGAAGAGGACCAGGAGCCGCTGGCCGTGGTGGGCTCCCCCTACTGGATGGCCCCGGAGGTGCTCAGAGGAGAGGTGTATAATGAGAAGGTACTGACTGATCTGCGCCTTTCAGCTGCAGATTGTTGAGTTCAAGGTCCACTGTGGGCGTGATGAAAGAAAGTCCAATAACCCGGGAAGTGGAGTAAAGCAATAAATATTTGATAAATCAGGAATGTTGAAAGCAAACAGGTATTTAGTGACGTAAGAGGTGCACTTCTTGACCTTTATTTCTCTATTCAGTAAAGTGGACTTGCTGATAGTTGGTTAGGGTTGCGTTTAAGGAATGAGGACATTTTCTGGGTCATGCAGCCGGCCTGGGCTCACAGGAAACTACAAATTAACATAAACCTCGTGGACAATGAAGCATGTTTTCAGTTAATACTGCAGAAAATAGTATAAATCTACATAATCTAGACTTCATAAACTACTACCACATGCAATTGTTACAGACGAAATGCATTTAGATGTTTGATTTGTTCCCTAGAATATAAGTTTGTCAGTACACGTACTTAAAAAGGCATTATCATTTGCGAACGTTTTTTTAAATAAGAAGTTTGCACAAGTAAAAAATAAACTGTATAGTAGTCTCTCGTCTTTTCTGTCAGTGTGTGTATCCTCTTGAAACGACTCGTCTCTCTGCAGGTGGATGTGTTTGCGTACGGGATCGTCCTGTGTGAGGTCATTGGGAGGATCCAGGCCGACCCCGACATCTTGCCCCGCACCGAGGTACCGACGTGCTGTCATCACACACTCATCATCACACACTCATCATCATGCACGTCTCCTGTCATACAGCACTGCATGAATACCCTCATGGCAAACATTAACTGTATTAGTTTATTACCTGATGTCTGTCAGTGTTTTAAGATCACAGGACTGTTGGGCAAGCTGCAATTTCACAACAACTTGAGATGAAGCAACATTTTTACCACCAGATGTGAATTTTGTAAAATGTTACATATCTTATTTTGGACTCTTAACAGCCGATTCGTCTTGGAAAAACAGGAAGCTGACTTTCTTATCTTTGAGAAGCTTTCATGTTTCCGAATGCTCAAAAATAACTGACAAAATATTTAGAGGGCCTTATGATCTGTTTATTTATCACAGTGTATCACAATTAATTATTTGTACAAAATACATGTTGGGTAAATGTACTCATCATTGTTAAATCTTTGTTAAAAGCCCTTTCTTCATGACAGCATTTCTCCCCCTTGTGGCTTTTTAACAGTGCTGCAGTTGAGCAATCATATAAGGGGACTTTTTTCTTGCCATGTCATTTTTTTTTTGTGGGCTCATGAAATAATACATTTTCTTTAATGTGTAATTTCCTCTGTTTCTGTACAGGACTTTGGTCTGGATGTGGTGACCTTTCAGCAGATGGTGGAAGATTTTCCTCCTGACTTCCTGGAACTGGCCATCTCCTGCTGTAATGTAAGGAATACTCATCTCACACACACATATCACACACACATAGGCACACACACACTTCCCTTGACTTTTCTTTGTATGGGGTCACTTTATTAGCTTTGTTTTATTAGCTTATTATATTGTTCATGATGGTGGGGAAGACTGAGTCAGTTTGATTGTTGGTGCTTTACGGTAATGCCAGTGCGATACAATTTAATAGCACCACTAAATACTCTTTAAATGACCATGCAGGTACCTCAGTATACCAGGTATCTACAGCGTTATTTGGGAGGAGAAGCTTTTGCCTTGCTTCTTTATACCAGATGATTAAGTACCCGTAGCGTCGGTTTATCTTTAATGGGGCTGTCATGTTTAAAGAAAGCATATCTGTAACCTGTGTTTAAGGCCCCGTCCACACGGAGACGGAAACGAACCTTAGTCGTGTTCAAAAAAGTCCTCCGTCCACACTGAAATGGCTCAAGAAACGTGTCCGTCCACACGAAAATGCTCAAACGCTGGAGACGCTGTAGTACATATCCCGGGCCTATAAGTGACTGTACTTCCCCCACAAAATACACCAAAAGCAGCGAATAAGACCGATGACAATTATTATTCTCATTATTATTATATTATATTATTATTGTTGCTGATGGTTGTGGTAGAGGAGCTGTATATTTTTGCATTTAAATCAGTATCATGTTCAGTAGCGTCTGGAGTACGAACGCAACCCTGTGATCCGCCATTGTTTTTGGCGAAACGCATCAGCAATGACGCGGGGGGGAACAAGAGAGTTGGGGAGAGCCGGGGCTATGGTGTCATCGTTTTCAGGAAATTATGGTATAGGGCGTACACACGGAGCCGCAAGCGTTTCGTCCTCAGACCTACCCACTTTGGGAACCGTTATCAAAGCGTATCGGATTCGGGCGCCATCTGTAGAATTTCCCCACACGTTTGGGAACCCCTGCGATAGAGAACGTTAGCGGGTTCAACTGATATCGTCTCCGTGTGGACAGGGCCTTAATCACTGAAAGCCATCATTTTATAAGATAGATCGCATGTTTGTAACAAGGTGGATTACGCCCACACATTTCAGCCACGCCAGGTTTCTACCTCCTTAATTTCTTTAGATTTTTTGCCAATTAAAATGGAAAATTATGACGGATTAAATCATTAGTTTTGCACTGCAATTTTTATCTCAGTTCAATTTGTTGAATTTGTTTCTCCTTCCTGCCAGATGAACTCAAAGCTCCGTCCATCCTTCTCTGAAATCGTGGTGGAGCTGGAGCGGCAGCAGGCTGAGAGGAAGCAGAAAGATGAACCAACAGTCAAAGGTGAGTCATCAAACCGTCAACACACAAAAGTTTAAAAAACACAAAAGTTTAAAAAACAAATAATAATAATAATCTCCATTCTCCCTTTTTCTCTCAAGCTGTCTCTCCATCCATCGGCCCTCTCAGAAGGCGGTCCCTCTGCCTCCCGTCGGACCCTCGCCTCTCCCGCAGCAAATCGGACATGCTACTCCCCCCGGACACGCCCCCCTCCGTCATCAACGCCATCCCTGCTCGGATCAACCCCTTCTCTCAGAGGGAGGACCTCAAGGGGGGCAAGATCAAGCTGTTCGACACCCCCAGCAAGTCGGTCATCTCCCTCACCTTCACCCTGCCCCCCCTTCCAGACTGCGAAGACCCCTCTGTGTCCGACACTGATGGCGTTGTCCTGAGGAGACACCGGCGCTGCCACTCGCTGCCGTGTACGCCCCCTCCTCACCTCACATCGGCACCGAACACTGTCCTGACCGAAGAGGAGTCCCCGTCTGAAGTGGACACTGTAAACTTTGAGACAAAAGAAGAAGAGACACTGTTGGAGAAAGAGAGACTATTGGAAGAAGAGAGACTGTTGGCAAAAGAGAAGGAGATCAAGGAGGGGAGTGGGAGTGATTCAGGTCTGCCCGGTCTGTCTCTTGGGCCCCTGCCCATGGACCAGGAGGACGGAGAGCCGATGGACTGCTCCAGCTCCCCGGACACACAGGACAGCGCTTCATCTCCGTACTCGAACCCCTCCCCTCATCCTGCTTCCTCAACTCCAATCCAACCCTCCACCCCTCCCTTCTCAAACGGCTGGGGGTCGGCCATCTCCAACGGGCCACCCTGCCTGCCTCCCCTCTCTCACTTGGACAACAACAACGTGGTCGTGAGTCGAGAATTGACCAACAACAACGGCTACCACTCCCCTCCCAGTGACCCCGCAGGCTCCTCCCCCTACCGCTCGGGCAGCGTTTGCTCTCTGGACCAGGAGGAGGGGGTCTCCTGTTCTCTGGACCAGGAGGAGGTGGTCTCGTGTCCCGGCTGCTGCCTGGCCGGCCTCCGCTTCCCCTCCATGTGTCTCAGAGCTCCGCCGCGCATGAACCCTTACAAGAACTTGAACGGGGAACATGCAGCGTCCCGTGGGCTGCTCGCTCCGGGACCAAAAGACTCTCCATCCCCCACCACCACCGCCACCGCCTTGCCGGGGGCACAGACTTAAACTTCTCAACAAAGAGTGTGGAAACTCTGTACCAAAAGCTCCCCTCTTGGAAATTAAGCGGGTTTTCTTAGAATTTGCACAGATTTGAACACAGCAATACCCTGCTTATTTTCTAGACTCACTTTTGGGTGCGGATGGGTTTAGAGGAACAGACTCCAGGCTGAAGCTGTGGGACGACGGACTCTCTGCTGTTGCATGTCGCCCTCTGCTGGGCTGAGGACGACATGTCGATCTGACTGATTATCCACAGCGTCCTGAACTGTTAAGCATGTAAGCAGTTTGTTTGGATCCTGTATATCCAGAGATAAAAAGACTCATGAATGATGATGATGATGCTGAAATGAGGAATGTCAAGCTTTGTATTATTACGGCTGCAATTACTTTTGTTGATTGGTGCTGAATGAACAGGCAGTTTTTGCTTTCATGTATTACCAAGAGGGTGTATGGTGCATTGCTGGACTGACTGTGTGTGTGTGTGTGTGTGTGTGTGTGTTTGTGTGTGTGTGTGTGTGTGTTCTTTTGAGTTGCTGTATGATCTCTGTTGGCCCTGCTGGTCGCCTGGTTAAGCACTTCAACTGTATTACTGTTGTGAATAAGGAAACTATTGATATTATTACTTTGAGGAATGAATGGTCGAAGACCTGCTTATGAGATGTACAGATTCTTATTATTTAAAGATGACATTGAATAAAAAGACAGAATGTTATTTCTCCTGATAAGTCTGTCTTTTTTCTATCTATATTAGATCAAGGCTAAAATATCTCACTATCCTGTTCAAATTTGTGGGTTTTTTGTTGTAAAATGTCTATCTGGATGGATCAAAATCTGTTCAGACATTAATGTTCCCCTCATCATAACCTTGATTTCCCATCTAGAGCCATAACTATGTCAACATTTGAATTTCTTACTTCAAATGATTTGTTAATTACATCTATACAGCCCCAGACGTACCTGGTGCTTAATTTTCAAACATTAGCTTGCTAGAAATTATGGTGAACGGTACCTACAACATTAACTTGTTAGCATGTTGCCGCCTGCATTAGCTAGTTAGCACAAGAAACTCTAGCAGACGGCTAACTAGATGAAGATGGCGTCCTTTGCTAAACCTTTTTCTGCTTAGAATCATCTTTTTAGTTAGCTTTGAACATATTGACGCTTAGCATGTAGCTTGTTAGCATCATACAGTTAGCATTTGCAACAAAGTCGCTATTAGCCTTATGATACCATATGCTACCTTTTAGCGGGAAAAATCTACAGAACTCCACTTTGAGCTTTTAGTAGTGTAAATGACAAACTAATCCAATACATGTTACTCCATGTTTTGTTTCAGTTAGGTCAAGGTTGATATTTAAAATGGTGTCTTTCTCATTAAAAGAGAAATGGTAAAAATCTAAATGGAAATTATATACTTTATATGTGACTTTCCTCATGAATCAAGTTTGTCCTCTGCCTCTAATTTTCTGTCGGCCAAACTTCTCATCCTCCTCTTAAGTAGATTAAAGCCTTTCATCTCTCTTACAAATCACCAGCTTTCAATTGAATCCTTATCTCTCCACCCCTTCCACCTTCGTGTCCAACTCCAGTCTATCACTTCCCTCTGCAGCTTATTGCATCTCCTCCTCCTCAGTGTTTCTTTACAGGTTGTCTTGCTCTTTAAGGTAGTGTTGGGTCACCTGCAGCACCGGACAGTCTGTGTGTCACTCTCCTGCTCTCTTGAACCCGAGGTCATGGAGCTATCCACGGTGGGATTGTTTGTTGTGGTTACCCTGCTGATTACTGGTAAGTACTGAAGCTTTTATCACAAATTAAACATATTTTTATTTTACTTCCGTGTAGCTGCTCCTGTGTTTCAATAAGCCATCATCTCCGCTGTGAGCGCTCAGGCTTGCAAGTCATCAAAGTTGTGACAATCAGTCTTAACGGGTCAATAAGCATCTGAGGGACTGAGCTATTTTGGTGTCCATGTTTCGTGCGAACGTCCCAGGGTCCAATGGGACAGTCTGCTACGCTGCTGTGGAATCACTGGACTTAAGATGCCTCCTGCAGTGGGATTGTCCCCATGCCAGCCCTAATACCACCTATACAGTGCAGACAAAGACGCAGGGGTAAGTCCTTCTGTGAGTGTGTCTGTGTGTCTACAGTAAGCAAGCTCAAAAACTATTTATTTACAAAAATAAAACATTTTCCCCCACAATTCATTTTATGTATCAAATGTTTTTCAATTAAATGTTCTTGCAACTGAGTTCCCTTTTTCAATACAATTTTGGTTTCAATTTTTACTGGTGTCTGTATGTTTATACAGTATATTTCATTTAGCTGTATGCTGCGTTCTGATTATAGTAGATGCTCATAATGAAATATGAAAGCCTAGTTTTAAAGTTGTTTATATCTATAATAATTGCTTCTGCTGCTGTTACACTACCTTTTTTAGATGTACATAATTTGCTAATAACATTACAAAATAATGTTGAAGTATTTATATTTTACTTTTCATGCAACAATGTGTACATACACGTAGGAATTCTAATTTCTATTTTAGAAATGAGCCCTGATTTATCACTGCAGTACAAATAAAGTAAAAAACACAATTTTTACACAAAGAAAACCAAATCGGTTAAAATAGGCTGTTTTTTAAGTTAAAAAGATCAACAGATCAATGTTGATATGCAAAGAAAGTTCCGTTAGACTAACATCTTTAAATGTAGATGAAGAAAATCAAGATGTGATGTTTGAAATGGAAACAACGAAGGATAGTTTCTATAACTTTAACACTTTTCCAGTTATAACAGCTCATTTGTGAAACTTAAAGACATTTAATAAGCCACATTATTCTGCTGAATGCGTTAAATTACTCCATTTAAACCCTGAAAGCCTGTGATTTGCAGAGAGCTTATTCCTGGTTTTGCTCAGGCACACAGCACAGTGTGACTTCCTTTGTTTGCAGGGACCCCTGGCAGGAAGTACCGTGGTGCGTTTGGATCTCGTCCCGCAGCTGTGACGTCTCGCCGGCTTTCTCAAACTTTGAGTTGTATAACATGATCCGTCTGGGCGTCCACCTCAGCCCCAGCTCCACCGCCTGGATGAGGCCGCTCAAGTTCGACTACAGTGACTTCAGTCAGTAACAAACTGCAGTACAGTCATAAGATGTATAAAAACATGTGATACATGCCTGCTGGTCCCTCTCCCCTCTCTGTTGCACATGGTTTTAAACTGTTGCTTTAAAAGTACATAATGTGTTCAGCATCATGTCATTGGGGGGTAGAAGTTTATTGAAAACGGAGCCAAAAGGATGTGTAGAACTCTAGTTGTCTGGCAGACCACTTGAATTAACAGCTTTAAAGGGGACCTATTTTGTAAAATCCACTTGTTCATGTCTTTTACACATCAACATGTGTAAAAAGATTCTGAAAGTTGCAGGAAAAAAGATTCGCTCACTTTTTGTCCTGATCCATTTATATAAAAACCCAACCCCCGTCCACCTTATCACCTGAATCTCCTCCTAGAGCACCATTGTGTTATTTTTAACCAAATCTCTCTCAGAGGGGCGTGGGGAGGGGCTCCTTATTTTCATCTAAAGTAACAGAAAGAGAATCAGCACTTTTGAAACAGGGCTGAAACAGAGGGGATTATGGGATGCTACAATGATCTGTTTGGTGTTTGGAGGCAAACACTTCAGAGACATGTTTTGTATCTGAGACCTATAATATATTGATGAAAAACAGTATAATAGGAGACCTTTAAGGATGATATAACATTGTTAGCCAATGATCCCAGAGCTTTAAGATAATTGACCTTCCCTCTGTCCCTTTGCCCCCTCCAGCCTTCAGCCCCCCCTCTGTCTCGGTCTCTTTGAAAGAAGACCATCTCACGGTGAAGGTGCAGTTCCCCTGTGCCGCCAACAGGAGGTGCTCTCTGGGACGCTGCTGTCCCATCTCTGAACTGATCCACCCATGGACCACTGTGACTGTGTACAACAAGCAAAATCACTCTGAGTACCAGGTCTGCTTTTTGCTGAGTTGATACTGATATATATTTTTATAAAAAGGCCTGCAATCAGATGCAACAATTCCTGAAGATGATTATTAACAGGATAATACTGATGTGGTTAAATTAAATATATTTAATTACCTATTAAATCTTTTGTTTACCCTTTCTGATGGCATACTTAATCCTAAGAAATATCTCTGCTTTTACAAATTAAAACCAGAGTGCTTTGTGTCCTTGCAGAGACGTACGGTTTGGACCCAGGAGGCGGTGTCCCACGTGGAGTTCTCCGGCTTGGCTGCGGGTCAGAATTACTGCGCTGTGGCCAACTTCTCCTTCCCAACGTTCTCCATGGCGGCTTCTCCAAAGTCTTCCCCTCAGTGCGTCCAGACCGTTTCCCAATCAGGTTAGAGAACGGCTGACGATGGGTCACAAACTAACCATCCTGAAATGACCTTAAATACATCACATGTTAACCAATAGGAGGGTTAATGAGTAGACAGAGGACGTGAGGGATGTTGGTATCCATTGATTAGTGGTTGCCAACATGAGGAACAGAACCTCTGCAGTGCCAGTTTAGGGCCATCTACTGGCCTTGTTCATGTGTCGCTAAGGAAAACTATAAACTTGTGATGCCTTGAATGCGCCATTTTATTGAAGATCACCTCAGTTTACCAAAGCTTCCTTCCATTTGTTTTTTTGTTTTGGCTTGTCGAAAAGCATCTTTTTATATCCCTAGTCATTTTTGCTAGGTCTCGACCCAGGATGTAGCCTAATACAACTTTGGGTCATTGTGCAGTTTAGAAACGTTCTGGACTTGGCACATACTCTTTTTTTGCTTGTTTTTCCAGGACTCTGTGCAGAGGTCCAATGGCCAACGCTGATTGATTCTGCATCCTCCCTCTTTATTGATCTTGTCCCCTGTGTCTTTGAAAGTCTGCAGTATTGTTTGTTTATTGGGATAACATTTGTGTTCAACTTCTATATTGTGTTTCAGTGCTGCTGCCCGCGGTGTGTCTGGGAATCGGACTGACTTCTCTGCTCCTTGTTCCTCTCCTCGCTGCATTTCTGAAAAGACCTAAACACACTGCATTAACCTCTGAAAATCAACCTGAGACTCTGGTACCATTTATTTGTCTTTGACCTCTCCTCACAAACCATCGTTTTAAGAGTGAGCTGGATATTTCTCCTTGACAGATTGCTTATCTTTATTTGTATTCTTTCACTAAGGCCTCTGTTCAGGATCCAGACTCTTTGGTTCCTCTTTCCCCGGTCCCTGTGGACCCTTGTGACATCCAGCTGGAGTTTGACGATACATAGACGATCTCTACACTGCTGAGACTTGAGAGGTTTGGATGAACCCATCTTGATCACTTTGGGGGGAAGAAACGCTGAGCTAATCCCAGGATGCAGTGACGAGCCCTGTCAACATGACGAAATAAAGTCAGCTGATGTGAAGGAGAATAATGTCTGAGGTAGGTGGACAAAGGCAGGATTTTACGCACAGTCGAACTCCTGTGAGACAGACTTGGATTTAAATTCTCCATCCTATCCTTCTCCAACAAGGAGCAAACCTTGACACACGGTATCATAATCCCAGCTATGTCTCTACTAAGGGTAACTATGGGACACATAGAAGACCCATCTGAGTGTTGTTCAATAAGGGTATTCATTGGGGGTCTGAAAGGCTTCTCCACGTCCATGTGAAGTTTTAAAAGGAGAAGGGAGTTACGCTTCTGCAAGACCAGTTGAAATGTCTGACAGTGCATTTTTTGATATATTTATTTTAATGATTGTTTTCAAACATGTTAAGAAATAGAAATATCTGTCAATATATGCAAACTAGTTTCTTTCAATCTATGGTCACTAGCTTCGTTTACAGACTGAGATAGCAAAGTTAGCAAACTGTGCTAAGATGTCTTTCATTAATGGCTACATTGTTTAGCTCTGAACAGGCTGTTATGTACTTTATATTTATTCATTTCATCTTTGAATAGAGTCCATTACTGCCATTGAATGAAGATAAAAGGTCATGACCCAACTTTGAATTCCTCGCTGAAAGCCACCAAATGACCTCTAACATGTAATTCTGTTTAGCTGGCGTCTGTCATCCCATTTTAATCATGTAAGCACATTCCTCTGGCTCTCACTGCCTGTCCGATCTGAGTCAGACAGAGGAATTGGGTCCGAGGATCGACTGCTGAGTGAGAACTTCCAATGGAGCAGCAATAGTTTATCTGACACGTCCAAAAGTAGCTGTTTTTCTGTGCATGTACCACATATTCAGTGAAACGTCTAAATCTGGATGTGGTTCTTCCCCCTCTGCGTTTTTGTGCCGAGGTCCAGTGACACTCAACAGGCCGGTTCAAAACCATAAGCTTCACTAACAGGAACGCCTGACCCCCCCCACACAGCCAACAGCTCCTTTTAAAGTGATAACAGAGGGTAGCTTTTTCTATCATTCCTCGCTCTCTCTGACTCACAGTTGCCTCCTCTTACCCGTGACTGACGCCTCATTCTGCCTCCTGCATGAAAACAAGAAACATCTTGACATCCCGCCTTCTGTTTTGCTGGTGTTGCATTCTTTCCGCAACATTGGGGAGCCTTTGGGGGTTTGGCCATCCAGCATTGTTTGTTTCCCCTTCTACCTTTTCCAGAGTCCACAGAGACCTGGGGGGTTGTCCAAAGCTCAACGTACAAGTATGGCTTTTATTAATAAGCATAGTGCTGATTATGCTCGTGGAGAGATGATTAACGCATGAAGCGAGAAGCTGGCTGTGAGCTCGAGCACCTGACTACACAACAGTGGAGCTGTGTGTTGGACCTTTGTTTTTGTTCTGCTAGGTGCTGTAATTCCTCTGAATATATCAAAGCCATTGAGTAGACAAAGTCGTGTGGATTGAGTTCCTGAGGTGACCTTGGTATGCGGAACACATTTTAATCAGCTCATGATAATTGTGCATGAAACTGAACATGTTATATGTGTTAAGGAGGAGGAGGTATATGCCAACAGTGTGTAACTACTCATTTTATAACTCAAATAAATTATGTAAAAATGTATCACGGTTTATTTGAACTGTTTATTTTAGTAAAAAACGTTTTGAAATGCCCAAATGTCGAAAAACGCGAACAAATTCTGGGATAAAAAATTGTATGTTGAAAATTTCACAAATAATGACGTAGTAAAATAAGTCGAAAAAAAACTACATAGTATACTATGGAGTTTTTCTCAATGTCATACGTCCTTTTTTTCCAACTTATTTTACTGTCGTTATTTGTATACTATACTATGTTGTTTTTCTCTCGAAGTTTCGACATGTCTAGATATTTCCACATAGTATAGTATATCACAAATAACGACATAGCATGTTATGTCAAAAGTATATCACAAAAATAGACTTTGTGGGGGAAACTTCTGAAGCAATTGGAGTCAGGACTCAGAGAGACACGATGGAGAGCTGGAGCTTTGAAGGCAAACACTGACGGTTTATTTGGAGCTTCGGCCGGAGAACTCACAAGACATGTCACGGGCCACGATCTGACCACACGGTTGAGATGCCACAATAAATTCTGAAGAGCCCTCCTTGTAGTTCCAGGTTTCAACTAGTTCAGAGTGTAATAATCAACATTCTTCAATAGATATACTAAACAGCTGAGGACACTGAATCACATTTGTTGTCGCTTATGGCTCGGGGTCATCTACCCCGAGAAGGATGTGTTCCAGGTGTCCCATAACAATAACTATCTCTGAAAGAGAGCTGCCCGGTCATAAACTGGTAACAACAACAACAACAACTTGCTAGGGCAGCCCCTCCTTAAGGGAGATATAGCATGCTGCTCAAGGCTGGGCATCTGCGTTAGAGGGCGAAAGGTAAACATGTATGGAAATTATTCCCTGACAGGAACGACTTGGATTAACTTGGTCTATTCCAAATTGTAAAATATCAAATTGCTGTCTGTTGTTTTTAATCTAATTTCTTAAGAAGCAGGTAAAAGCAGCCCCTGTCATCACCACCAGGTGAAGATGAGTTTGTGGAAGTAGTCGTAGCTCCTGGTGGACAGGAAGCTCCTCTCCACTGAGTGGCGCTGGATGCTCACACTGTAGCCCTGACTCTCGATGTCCAGCTTCACACAGTCCAGCAGGTCTTTGACGGATAGCGCGGCCTTCCAGGGTCCGAACGTCACCACCGACTCCTTATTTGACTCCAGGCTGTTGATGGCGTTGTCATAGAGACCCAAGTCCTCCTCTGTGCGCAGCACGCATATCATGATGGTGGACTGTCGGGCGGCTATGGCCTCGGCTCTGGCGATACGAATCAGCACCTGGAAGGAAACAGTGACGATATGTTTATCATTCGTCAAATACATTTCTATTATGATTACATGTTTCTACTTCCTAGTAAGAGTTTGACGTCATGATGCACACATTTTTGCAAGGCTCAACTGAGAAGAAATGCGCCATCATGGATAAAATAAATGGGAACGTTCGAGGCATAATTCCCTCTGATCAGAGAATAGCTTGTTTGGTAACAATCTCACATATTTTTAGGCAAATTTCAACCAACACACTTTCCCAGAAAACAAATCTAATAGCCTATAAGACTGAATAATGTCAAGGCTATCATGAGCTCTCATTTATTTTCTTTACCACTCTTTCACATCCACTAAAAGGTGGGGTAGATCATTTTGGAGAAACCATTTCGAGTGCGCTAGAATTTGAAAATACACAGCCGGAAAAAATCTGCAACTTCCTTACAGAGCCTCTCCTCCAACACACACGAACGTGCACATGACCAATGAGGGCACGAGATAAGTATGTGCACAGAGGGGAGGCCATCCAGTTACTTTAGCCGGGCCGGCCGATGATTGGTCGTGCTTTTTACAGACCTACGGCTTCCACAGATGACATTTTTTTATGGATTTTTTGTCAAAGCACTTAAGATATTCATTGCTATCGGGATGCTAAGAGCATTCCATGGAATATAACAAAAAGTGTATCTCGTACCTTAAACTACCTTTAAGGTACCTGCAGTAATTAAAGTACTCACAAAAAAGTGCGCACACAAAAGAAGGTTAAGAGATGCTGCGGTGCACATTTTGAACAATGCATTACAATGTACAAGATGAGCAGGAGTGTCTGACCTCGATGTTCTCCCTGTAGTGGGGGACTCTGGAAAGGAACTGCTGCCGGCCCACCAGCTCTCCAAACAGAGGAGGGCTCTCCTCCAGGAGCTTCACCAGGGGTCTGATGTTGTAGTACACCGCCTCCCTGTGAACCTGCACACACACACACACACACACACACACACACACACACACACACACACACACACACACACACACTCTAGATCCGTCTGAGTTTGTAAAACCCATAGCTAAAGTCGGTTAGACTACCTAACATTGGTACAGTGTCCTTTTCATGTGATTGTTCTATGAATGTCGCAAATTATAACCTTTTGACATCTTGGTCTCTTTGGCGGGACACTGGTTTGTTTCTTATATGACTCCTACGTCATTTTTACTACTACAGTACCTACATGTCCCTCCGACATCCTTCTGAATATCATGATGGTGAAACATGGTCTTCTGGTCTGAATTCGAAACACCCATTCGTCAATAGTGTCATAAAGACGGAACTCGGATGTCTTCTCGTCCACCCAAATGACACTTTGTACAAGATTCATATGGAGTTGCCATGAAGACTCTTTCCCAATCAAAGTTTTCTTTGTTGTCACTCTTCGTCCATATGTCACGGATCGTCACTTACGACTGACCCGCAGACCTACAGTCGCTGTCCCGCGTCATGGTGTCCTATGACACACTCAGATCATTCTTGTCCGCATGATCAGTACCTTTTGTCTTTGTCGGGTGTCATCGCAGAGGAGGTGTACGCTCCGCCTATGTACCGTGACCGAGTTGTATGTCCTACCAGATATGGATCTTGTCAATGATCTTCCATAATTATTATGTTCATGTGTGTTTGACCATCATGTACTCTATTAGTCCCTTGCTAACGAGAGCGGTTTTTGGGGACATTTGTTTGTCTGTCTCCTATTCGTTCACCTGTATTTTCTGGTGAAATAGGGTCTAGTGACACCTCCTACAGCTCCACTACTCCTAGTATGTACAAGCCTAGACTGATAAAGTGATATCGTCCTCATTATTACTCAACACACTCGCAGTACTCAGATGTATTGTAAAAAACGTTCCAGTTGACTCTTCTCTTAGCTTTGGACGCTGTATTATTAAGTAGCCTCTTTTGTACTTCTCAAAACTCTCTACTCTTTAGACATAAGGCTAAACCTGTCTCTTAACGTGTTACAGAACTATTGTTGCTCTTAGTCTCAACGGTGTACAAGATAACCATGTTCGAGTGTCTATAAAAATCCAGTATATAAAGTATAAGTCTTGATCTGTAGAAAACAAGAGAAGCTCCATTTGATTAGAACTTTATCTGATATAATCTGACTTATGATTACAGTTCCGCCATCGTGTCGCTCTACCTTTAAAGAACCGGCTTGTCGACTGAGATATGGATAAACGAAAATGGTGTTTGATATGTGTAGTGTGTCCATCTCTCCACCCCATCTAGTAAGAAGCCTTTGTGTGCGTTAACGGACTAGTTTACTAATTCATGCCTGTATCTATAACATTTTATTGTGTCGGCCTTTTTAGACGTTGAGGATGTCTCGGAGAGTGAGGTTTGTGTGTGCTTGCCGTGTCTGGTTATCTCCCGTGCTCTATTCATACACGTGTCTCCCCTCCGTAGGTCAATAATCGGCCCGGGCCGGCTACTAAATCCAGCAATAGTCGAAAAATTTCTGGATGCCGAAAGGTAGTCCGTAACTTGTAAAGAAAATACCTAAAAAACGGTTTCAGTGAAATGTATATAGTCAAACGCATAGACCCGGTCTACGATTCTCGTAAGGGTACTATTATTGTTTTTCACCATAGGAGCATGGGACAGGACTAATACCTTTTTATTTACTACATACCGTTTGGATATTTAGAATTTATGGATAATTTCACGATTGGATAATAACAGTCATTATCTCTCTCAGGTGAGTGTTTTTTGTCACGATCAGTGAGTGTTTTCTTCCAATTCTCTATAACGACTTCGAGCGCTCATCGCTCGTGTATGATACTATAGTTCAAGGTGTTGATGTAGTCATCGATACGTAAAAAAAGAGACATCCTATCTTAGCATGGTCCTCGTATTTCGCACTGAGGCGTGTACTTAGTGAGGGACTTCGGTCCCACGGAAATTTTCCCCCCTCGCGACACTTTTTTCCTGGACTGTCCGGTCATCCGGCTCGCGTCGAGAGGTTTGTACGTGTCTGTTCTCTCGTCGAAGACGCATTGTATAGTTTGACTCGACGCGATGTCGTCGGAAGCTGTCCAACATATGTTGGTTGTTTACGTGGCTCTCTGGACGTAAGTAAGGGACACTTGGATGTTTGTGCTGCTGTTGATCCTGTTTAGGTGTACTTACATTTTGATAAAATGTCTAGGGTTGTGTGTTGCTTGTGTTTGACATTATTCCGGACAGCGGGAGTATTGGTTTATCATTGTGTGTGTGTGTAACATATTGTGTGTCGTATGTGTTGTGTCTGTACTTTGTTAGTCCGTGATATGTGGTTGTTGTTGTGTGGTGTGTGTGTTAATGTTATTTAATGTTAAAGTTCTTAACGAACCCCTAGACGGAGTAGACGTGTGTTGTTAGCGATGTGGGTAAATCATGTTGTGTGTGTGTGCTCGCTTGTTTTCGTGATGTGTTATATAACTGTCAGCGACAGTAGTAAGGGGTATGTGCCTGTGTGTGACTCCTTACTCTTCAAGTCACCGTCCCATCGTAACTGTCTTATTCGTGTGGGGTGGTGCTTACTTTTTGGCGAAGGTCGGGTTGGATGTCGACCCCATACAGACTCTCACAACGTCCCTCACTGTACATCTTGTATCTATCGGTCGGACGTCGTAATTAAGAGTCCTAGCGTCTCTCTTCACCCCTAGCTAATACCTAGCACAAATGGTACTCTCTTCATGCTAGGAGAGAACAGGCAGTCCGGATGCTACTGTGTATCGTGGGTCTCCCCGCCTCGCATCAAACCCGCCTACTGACGACTGTACGAGTAGTCAGGTGTGTATAGGCCCCGATGATATGCCCTCTCCGCGCATCGCGTGTCATCGCTTGTCAGAGAGCTTCGTGCTCAGGGGCGTCTGCACTAGTCCTAGAGACGGTCGCTGTCACTTAACAAAACGCACTTCCGGTGTGGGTTCGTCTTGTACATTATCCATAAACGTAAAAGTTCATACCACCTCACTTATTAATAGGTGACTTATTATTCTCTATCTTCCTAAGATATGAAACGTGTGTCATATAGTCAAAGAGAAAACAGGAGTGAGTACAAGTACAGTACCTCTCGTTTACAGTCCTGACTTGGTGCAAGATAACGTCACTCATTTATGCTCAGTTTTAGGCGCCGTTTACATTTGCAGTAACACAGCAAATCTATGGGATGCATGTTATAAACCTTGGTGAGTCGACGACAGTAAACGTGGCATCATCTATTAGGACGTCTACCACTATAATATGAGTGTTACTTTTACAAGTCCTTACCGATATCTATCTGTACCGCTCTCGTCCATTCATGGTCGGAACAGATGAATAATTCCTCACCCTGCAATAAAAATTACTTGTAATCGAAGAGACGAAATGTCTGTACGGTTATTTAGACAAGGCAAGAGTAGGTTCGTGTACTCTTCCGTCGCGACTTGTCAGAGAGCGACAGTTCACGAACGTACTAAACTTGATGAGGCGTAGACACAGTGTCCACTAAAGTTGTCACACGTCATTAGGGCTCACCACTTCAGATCCGTCAATGTGGGGGAGCTCATTACAGTCGACTTGTGCAAGAGTTTAGAGTTAGCGCGGTGAACAGAGCACATACAAACATATTGAGGTTCGTGACGTGTGACACTTATCAGCTGCGGTCGGCTCTCGTACTAGCGCGCGGCACGAACGGCGGCTGCAAAGACTCAATGCAGTCACGTTGTTGTCAATCGAATGGTTTGCATTGGGCAAGAGACTGTAAGCCACTATAAAAAAAGCCACGATTCTTGGGAAAGCCGGCTTCCCGGAAAAATTGGTAAAAGCCGGCTATGTAAAAGCCGCCGGCTTATAAGCCACGTAGGGATTAATATTTGTTGGACCCTTGTCACCCACAAACTCTAAACTACCCCTATATACAGGAGTTGACATACACCATGACATTGACAAGGCACACTACCGTTACAACAACGAACACGGTGTCACTCCGCGTTCCTGTTCCCCATATCCTACGTACGGCGGAGGATATCCGGTTAGTGTCGAGAACTAACGGTGCCACACACCTTGGTCAAGTAAGGTCACCCTCCGACAGGGCACTCTCACTACGCACCGTCGGGAATATTATTTATACGTCCGAACCGATTTACCTAATGTAGAGGCACAAAAAGAGCCTTACGTTGCAATTCGACGTCTTGATTCGCAAATTGAATTGTGTATTGACATGTAAACGGCCACATTTAGATAAATGAGTGAACGGTTTGACAAAAGGGAGACTGAGGTTGTACTGTACTATCCTGTTTTAATTTTGACCTTAAATTACAATAAGTGTATAAATTTCAATTAATATGTCAAATGTACAAGACACAAAGGAGTCGTGAGATGACACCCGTCGACTTGCACCCCGTGGACAAGTAGCGTGGCGAGACTCGTGCGAGGCATTGGGGGCTGAAGGTCCGCGACTCGACAAGTCGAGAGGCGGGTTTGATAGCGAGGCTGGGAGACCCTGCGATGAAGTAGCTGGCGCTTCCCAGGCGTGAAGCCTCGGCAGGAGCGAAGGACTCTAGGCTTGACGGACGGTTGTGTGTCGTTTGGGTCCTCGACCCCCCCCACAAGGTAAGTCACCCGACGAAAGACATACTTTGGGACGGTGAGGAACTGAGTAGTGACACCACTACACACACACACACACACCACACAACACACACCACACACACACACACACACACACACAACCACACACNCTGTCTCCCTCCATGTTGGTCACGGTCAGTTTTGTGTATTTTTGCTACCTTGTACTATCTATGTTTTTGATTCATACCATGTTGTTGTTTTTCAGCTTTTAAATAAAGCTCGCTTTTGTTTATAGCCATTAACTTTTTGTAGTCTGCATTTGGGTCCTACCTTTTTTTCGCGAATCTGAAACAGTGATCTTAACAACTTGGAACATTAAAAGGTACCCAGCCCAAAGTTGCACCCTCAACAATGAAATAGAAACAAAAAATGACTTAAGGCAAACCTTTTTTAAAGAAAAACTGAAGTGGGAGTTGACTAAATGTGTCCAAAACTAAAATAAAATAATGTATTTCCAAGATTGCTGATTATGAATATGTTATATGCGGGGGAAACTTCTGAAGCAATTGGAGTCAGGACTCAGAGAGTAACAAGGAGAGCTGGAGCTTTGATGGCAAACACTGACGGTTTATTTGGAGCTTCGGCCGGAGAACTCACAAGACATGTCACGGGCCACGATCTGACCACACGGTTGAGATGCCACAATAAATTCTGAAGAGCCCTCCTTGTAGTTCCAGGTTTCAACTAGTTCAGAGTGTAATAATCAACATTCTTCAATAGATATACTAAACAGCTGAGGACACTGAATCACATTTGTTGTCGCTTATGGCTCGGGGTCATCTACACCCCGAGAAGGATGTGCTCCAGGTGTCCCACAACAATAACTATCTCTGACCGAGAGTTGCCCGGTCATAAACTGGCAACATCAACAATACGCTATGGCAGCCCCTCCATAAGGGAGATAACGGCTGATCAAGGCTGGTCAGCTGCGTCAGAGGGCGAAGGAGGACATGCAGGGCAAATTATTCCCCAACAGACATATTATTATATGTCCAAGAAAACGACATAGTATGGTATATAAACATTTTGAGAAAAACAACATAGCAGTCAAAAAAGTCAGAGAAATCGAAAATAAAGTATCTCAAGAAAATTATAATAAGCGACGTTGCTTTTTTGTGCAAATATCTTTATTTACAGGTAGCACAATCTTACATGTAAATGTTGTGAGTGTAAGAGAATATCTCCCTTGGAAATGTAATGGAGAAAACGTAACAATTGGCATGAAAAACAAGAACACTGAGTGAAGTTCAAGTACCTAGTCATAAATGTACTTGACATTTCCACGTGTCAAAAACCCAATCATTTTTAAGCTCCCTGTATACTTTAATAAGTTCTTAATTAAAGGTCAAGTAAACCAGTTAGAGCTGCATCTACTTCCATATGTTGTCTGCAGGTGCATTGTTTAAACATTAGATTTGGCTGCCTTTGTTTTAGAGTATTAGTGGTCATTAACAGAACAGAGAAACTTTAAATAAAGACCTTCACGTCAGAAATATAGCTTCTTTCTCTATGTGGCAGGAAATGCTTAGTCACTCGCTGTGTGACTCATCAACCCTCTTGGGGTTGGACTTGTGTTTACCCCCATCAGCGACGCTAGGACCGTCCACAGATGGTCAGCGATGCTCAATTTAGAAACATGTTCCGGGCCATAAACCCTGCATAGCAGCAAGTTCTGGGGTAAAATGATAAAAACGCACAAGTTAAAAAAACAAACTTGTATCAACAATTTTTTATTTTGGCCATACATCATTCATTCATTTAATAATTAATATACATTATATATACATGAGCAAACAAAGAAAGCCGTGTCTTTGTTCAACCATCTTGCAGTAAATGTTGGCACTGCATTCTTGGCCTTTTTAACAGAGTCATTGAGTTTCTTCCACACACACACGGGATGGAGCGCGTGATCCCACCGTGTGCTCGTGTTGACGAAGTTCGATCCAGTTCAGCCTCATCTGCGCCAGTACTGAAAAGAGACAGGAACACAATTCTTAGATTTTAAAGAATGGAGAAATTAACATTTAAACATTACTGTTTCAGTTCAATCTAATTCAGAGTTCTAATCTAAATGAATATATCCACATGTAGCAATAAGCTTGACTCCAACAAAAATACGTCTCAGGTAAGTTTGATTGACTTAAACAAAAGGTATCAGTACAAATGCATATTGCCAATAAACTATGTTTATACTCATAACAAAGAAATACAAAGTTCAAATATATACACATAATATATCAAATTATACATTATGGCTCCTACACCAGCTTTTGACCTACAAAACATCCAAAAATAGGGAAACGAGTTCAAAAAACCAAAAGATAACAATGTATGGTCAACCTGATTTTTTACCTGAGCAAACTTGTGTATCTGCTCGACCACAGCAGCGAACAGAGCGCCCACACTCTCATCTATCAGACTCTGCATGTAATGCACCGCCTCCTCGTCAGACAGGTCCAATCGGAACTTGTCCTGCACCTGGAGGAAAATGAAAGATATGACCAGATTGAGGACAATTTAACATTAGTCAAGATAAGATAGTGTAATCGCTCCAGAGGCAACAAACGTACCTTCTTAACGGTCTTGTCAGGCTCCAGGGCGATGTCAGGAATATTGGCATCGACCATGAGAGAGAACAGATTCAGGATCAGGTTGGAGTATCTGAAGAAGAATATTTGATATTACATGTGATGTAATCATCGTATTGTATTCCTCAGTATGATGAAAGTATCAGTTATGTAGGTGATGTTTCTAAAAATAGAGTTGAAGCTTTCTGCTGATGGGCCGTACTGTGTTTTACTTTATGAGATATCAATTGTCAAGCCTTTGGTTTAGGTTCATGTCAGCAAACAAAGATCATTTTCTTAAGTTTAAAAGTAAACTGCAATTAAATATTTATCTGAAGCAAGTTTATTTCCATGCCCTACTGACATAAATACCAGCCTAGAAGAGGTGGAAAAGAGTTCGCTATAATGTAAAAAGGACATGACTTGTAGCAGATAGTCTAAACAATACGGAGGCTAAATAAAGTTCTGATTGGTCAATTCAGAACATGTGACACGTTGTAAATCCAGTAGAACCGCTGTCAAGGACTGTAGTGACCGTTGCTAAGGAGGAAAAGAGGTTAAACAACAACAAAAAAATCTGTTTCCACACAAATCATAAGGTTTTGAAAATTATTTGGCGGCAAATATTGAATTTACATTTACACCCTTTAATTAGTTATTTGGGCTTTTAGATGAAGACCGCACACAGTTAATAAATACAACTATTCCTCTGACTAAAATACATATTTTTAAAGTCAATCAAGGAGTAATCTTAATTTAAGGTGTTTGAAGAGCAGATGAAAAATACAATTTCTTTTAAAAAAAATTATTGCCACAAAAAATCAAAGGGTGGCTCAACACGTCATGGCATGGGAAATAATGAGCTCTAACGAAGAAGTGGGATTAAAAGAACAATCCATATTCTTGCCATGTTGTGTTTTTTTGGTGCTATTTGGTTGTCAACCTATTTTTTTTGGTGAAATGTTGTGATCCTACTGACTGAATCTTTATTTCTCCTGTTTTTGTCCGAGATGGGAATGTCAACCATTATGTTATGTCCATGTTTGTGTCTTTAGCTTGTACAAAATAAAATAAATAATTATTTGGCGGCCCACTTGCAATGCCTTTGCGGACCACTAGGGGGCCGCGGCCCACAGGTTGGGAACCGCTGTTCTAAAGCATGACTCTCCCCTCTGATAAAATGTGATGTGTATCTGTCCGTCTCTCTACCTCCTGAGGTGCAGGAAGGCGGTGTAGCACTGCTTCCTGAACTCCTGGTACTGCTCGCTCTGCATGCCCCCCATCCCCTCCACCATCTCTTTGCTCAGCTTCATGGGCGGAGGCAGCGGTTTGGGGTCTCGACCCAGGATGTAGCCGAAGTCGATGTGGAAGAGCTTCCCTGAATCAAGAGGAGTTAGAATTCAAAATCTGCTCTGTAAACTAGGTTGTAAATAAACACGTATTTAATGTTTCCCTCACCGGTTTTGGTGAGTAGCAGATTGTCCAAGTGTCTGTCTCCTACTCCTAAGATGTATGTGATGACGCAGTAACCAGCTGGAAGCAAAGAGAGACACAATGTCAGTAAACACTTCTGAAAGTAGAGCACACAGAAATAGTACCATTGCTCTGTGACTCACCGCAGCTCTTCACATATGTGTCCATCACCTCGGAGCTGATGCCGTACGGCCCCTTCTCACTGGGGGCATGCTTCCTGAAGAAGCTCTGTGGGAATAAAAGATGTGAATAAAAGGTATGTTGTTTTGTCAGCTTAACTGTTTCTACTTCTCTGCTCACCTGGATGTTGCCTTCAGTCGCCAGGACTTCAGCAACGGGGACAGACTGGACAAACTGCATGAAACCTGGAAGAAAATACACTTTGTGATTAGGCTGGAGAATACAGCAATGAAAACACGTATTACAAACAACATCATTGAACCACCAGTTGAATTGATGTCATTGTTCTTTTAGCAACTAAATGTGCTCAGACTCACCGTGCTTGGTGCTGGTGGCCAACACTTTGTACGGCGTCAACTTCAGGTCCAAATTCTCTTTCCTTAAAAGCTATTAACCCAAACACAAACACGGGAAGACATTAGGAAAGCAACAACTGTGCTGTATGTAAACATTTTCCTCAAGATGTAAGAAATGTAAGAGGAAATGGATCCAAAGACTGCATTATTAACAACATTCACTTTCAGCTGATAAGATGTTCATAGAAACAAAACCCAAAGACATCTATGACTATAAATGCTTGGAAGTCTTAAATCAAATTAAACTACATTTCCCATCCATAAACTAACTTATCATTTTGAGCCTTCTTACTTTGTCCATGAGAGAGATGATCTGCAGGATGAGCTGATCCTGCCTCAGGTCGTCTCCGTGTTTGAAGATAACCGGGTACATGGCTCCATCCTCAGCTTTGAAGATCAGTTTAGCTGGCATCAGAGCGCTCTGACACACACAGAGAGAGAAAGAGAGGGAAAAGACTCATGAACCAGTGCCACACAGATACTGGTGTTAGTCCAGACAAAGCCCAATGTAGGAATGGAAGTTTCTCCTTGTGTACCTTGAAGAGCGTGGCTGTGTCGGGCACGATGCCTCTGATCCTGATCTGAGGCTCCAGAGGGAGAGGGATGGGCTCGATCTCTGACAGGTTCACCTTCTCGTTGTCCGCCAGCAGAGCCTGCAGGCGCTCCGTCTGCAGAGACACAGGGAGGGATGTTAAACAACTGAGCTGGGATCAGTGTGCTCAGGAGCCTTAACAGTTCAAAGGAAGCAGTGTGCACATTCAATAAGAAACGGCATGTTGCTGTGAGAGCCAAATGGATTCAGGAGGGCCAAAAAATATGTCAAATTGTACAAATTCTGAAGGATTTTTTTAACAGGTGTGCACAAAATAAACTATAATGAACATTGTTTTGCACAATAAACCAAAAAGCTATGAAAAGGATATCAAATGCTGTATTGTTTAGCTAATATTTGCATGTGCATTTATTCTGTTGTTACCTTCTTCTTTCGATTTCCACTCTCCCTCTGCACGGCTTTCATCAGCTGCACCAGTCTGTCCACAAACGTCTGCTGAGCGGCCAGCAGCGACCGCATCACCCTCACACTCTTATCACCCTGCAGGGAACAGGAAGTGTGTGTTAACGGCTAAAGATAAAGAAAAGGGAAACGTTTCAACACTTTCTTAAAGTCTGTGTATCTCCAATACTTTGTGCCTGACCTTGAGCAGAGCCTGGCTGAACCTCCTCATGACGTTCAGGTACATCTCGTGGGTCTTGAGGTCTCTCTGCTGGGTGTCCTGGTCCTCACACTCCACGATCACATACCTGATGAACACACACAGATCAATACAAACACAAGGACTGTTTTTCAGTTTGAAGAATGAACTCATCTGATTTGAGCTGCTACTCACCAATATAAATAGTTGGCGAGTTCGGAGTTCTTGCAAGCTCGGGAGATGAGAAATGTGCACAAGTCCTGCTGCAAAGACACACATTGGGGGATAGGGATACATTTCACATTTCTAGAAAGATACTTTTGACCACAACAAGTGATGTTTGTTGATGTGTGGTAGTGATTATCCCTCTATGGATCCTCCTCTCACCTCTTGAGTTTCACTGTCGGCTCCCTCCTTGCCTTTCTGTGGCGCAGTGGAAGATCCCGATGTGCCAGTCAGGATCTGTGAACTACAGAAAGAGAACAATGAGTAATCAGAGATCGCAGCAGTTCAAAAAAATGAAGTTCATTTGAACTAAACTGAGATAGTTCAGTATGGACTGCCTCCAGACTCTGGCGTGAGCTCGACAGAGTGCGGCCAGTGAAATCACAAAACCCTAAGAGTTCACGACGCTTCATGAAAGCAAAATAATCAAATTCCGCAAAAGCAGCAAAAACTCTCCCAACCAGTGTGACATTCCGAGGTATATTTAGATCTAGGCAGTAAAAAACTAAAGATGAAAAAGAAAATCTGGAAGGTACAACTATTCCCTCACTGTTCAGAGTAACATCTTTACCGAGTAGTCACACCATGTCAAAGCTCCCAGCAGACTCATTCACGATCCCCAGAGCACTGACCTGTCCATGGTGGACTCGTCTGAAAGTCCCTGGCTGTCTCTCTTGCTGCCTGGCTCCAGGCCGCCCTGAATATCGTTGAAGTTCTCGTACTTCAGCGCCTGGACCAGCTGCAGGAGGTACATCAGCAGGTCCTGAAGAGAGAGAGAAGAGATGGGAGTAAGTGTGGATTTGGAATTTAAAGCTCGGTTTTATCATTTGAAAACGTGTATATTTTCTGTCAGCGTGTAAATAATTCATTTTAAAAAGGGAACAGTTTGACCCAAAATCAGGAAAAACAATGTTTACGTTTCATTTAGCTGACATCTTTTTTCCAAAGAAACGTACAATGAGCCATTAGGATGCAAACCCAGAACAGCAAGAAACCTGCAGGTATAGTTGTTTCATTAAAGCCATACCTTTGGATGCTTGTGTATTGGTCTCCATTGATTTCAATATTTAAATACTTCAAGTTTATATATGTTTGTGTCGAAACAGGTGTGTTTTCAGTCAGCAAAGGAAGACTTGTAGAATTAACTAATTTGATTATTTTGTAGATTTTGGCTGTAGAAATGTCTGCATTCTCTCAAATGTAATGGAACCATAGGGAAGTTTGCTAGAAGTTTAAATAATACATTTAAAAAACAAGAAATGTAACAATTAGGGGTGAACTGTGACTTTTAAACAGCTCTGTCATCATCATCATCATCATGTTGGTATAAATACACTTTGGAAGGAAAGCTTTGAAATGCTTTGTCTCAGGAGAATTTTAAGTTCTACACAAACAGAGTTATCATTTCCCGCCCTCACGAGTATCCTTCTGTCTCCTCCTCCTACCTCATCGTCGGCCTGCTGCAGGCGCGTCACAGCGTAGCGTCGCACCGTGGGGTTGGAGAACTGGGAGGACAGCAGCTCCAGGGAGTCCTCCACGTCCATCGGCCTCCACTTCCCCAGCATCTCCAGGGCCTGCTTGGCCTCCTGGGGCAGGTCCCAGTTCACACACTTCAGGAACTTTGTCAGGGCCTGCAGCGAGAGGAGGAAGAGGAAGAGGAGGAGGAGGAAGATTATCATGCTGTAGAGATGAGAATCGATAAAGGAGCACGATTAGCTTTGGGTATGTTGGAGTAGAATAACACAAAGACACCCACCTTCTCCTGCGTGGTGAGGTAGTATCTGAACTTCCACACCAGGTCCTGCTCTTCAGAGCTCAGCTGCTTCGTTGGAGGGTAGCTCACGATGATCTGATGGAGAACGAACACACACACACACACACACACACACACACAC